CGTTTCTGTCGTTTTTGTCTGATTGTGTGCGAGAGAGATAGAGTTATAGTGTGTGATAGAAATAGAGTGACTCTGTCCTCATAGAGGGCTTCTATTTCTCTCTTTCTGCTGTCTTCAGGAGTCTTTGGGGCTTCCCCAGCAATTTCAGGACGCCTAGGGCGGGAGCGTGGGGTAGAGCGCATGGCCTTTTTAGCCTTCGTTATCGATCTATAATGTCACACAGTATGAGAAAATCGAAAAAATAATTAAAAAAATCTCCTCACACCCGTGGTTCTGATTGTCCTTTCTGCGTTGAATGCAAAAGGTCCGAAGTCAGTATGTCGAAAAACAAACAAGTTAGTCAAAAATTACAACAGCAGTGGCGAACGCATTATCTTATCTCTGTATTGATTGATGATTTGTTTTTTTTTTAAATAAATTTCGTATTCAACTACTCCTTGAGGTTCTAGCAATTTTACATTGTGTTAATTTTTTTGAACACTTTGTGTCACAAATATGAGCACTACCAATGGCATCCATGATATACAACACTTATGTCAATAATTATTTTACCTATCTAAAGAAATCAACAATAAGAGAGCAGTACCCATCTAAGGATATACAACCTGTATAATGAAAATTTAAAAAAAAAGGTGTTAATATCGAACCACATTGGAAGTCGACGCACAAATCTAAAAACATTAAGTTTAAGTTTTTGAATTTTCCCATTCCAAGGTGATATAAAATAAATAATTAATTAGGTAAATTCATAGTTTTAATTCTAAATTGTTTTATTTTATTTAGCATTTAAGGAGAATGTGATTTCCAAACAGAAGATAAATTCCATATCTCTTTAATTACATAATTGAAAGCATTAAATTTATTTAGCAGTTATTATTTGGCAACAAAGCCACCGCTGGAACTGCCGCCTATTACCAAGTAGAAGAGTTACCACGCTAAATTTTATAGCTGGAAGCCGACTAAGGAGACCCTGCATCCATTTTGGGTTGCCAATTTCCAGCATTTAAGTAGCAGTCTGTGGCGATAAGCTATATTGTCTGTGATTGTATTTTTGTAAAACGGTCAATCTTATCAGTACGTTTTTAGTACGTTTTTGTAGAATGTGGCTATAAATCAGATAAGAGTGCGCTATTAATTTTTAAATTAAAAAATTAAAAATATATTAAGGTTTACACTATTTTTTTTAATTTTTATTTCAAAAAATCGTCAAGTAATGTACGTGTTGCAGCATACTGCATATTATTATATTTTTTTAATTAACAATTTTGTCGTTTATAACAGTAAGTTAACAAAATTAATTGAAAAATGTTGAATAAAATAAATAAAATAAACGATGTACCTGAACATAAATATTCCTTACTTTTTGTAAAATATTTTATATAAGTTTATTATAAGTGTACGGTTTCAATCATTCAATGTGCGTTTCAACGCCAATGCAGCCAACTTAAATTTCCAGTCAAATTTAATTTTATGTGAGATAGCATGTTTTTTCTGTTACATAGTTGCAACTGAAATAATTTATGGTGAAGCAAATTTGTATTTCATTAATTTATTTAATGTAACAAATATTTTTTTTAGATATCACTAATATAGTTTTGTGCACGACTCCTTTCCAACCGTTTAACATTGTTAATTTGAAACACCTTATACAGAAATTCCATTGTTATCCTATAAATAACAGCAATAATGTCATTACTGGTATTTCAATCACTTCCTGTACATTTAGTTTCCAGAAAAACGCCGCTAAAAACAACTTTGCGAGGTCTCACATACCTGTTAATTCCATTATTTGCTTAAATGGAATTGACTATGGCGACGAAAGATCAGAAAACATGACTAATATCTTAATTTGTATTTACAGTGGTTTGTATCTACCACCCGTGAATGCGAAAACGTAATTACTATCTTCCACTTAATGATCGTTGATCATCAGTATGCCGGTTGGGTTACGCTGGACTTTGGTGACAAATCTGGTGCTGACTAATGCCCAATAAATGTATGAATATTAATGTGTAACTGGTATAAATAAGTCGAATATTTTAAATATTTATCGAAATTTTAAAACATGTTACGAGTTCGCGTATAATCATAATAATACATTAAGGCAAAGACATTGCTTGAAACAAATAGAAAGCTTTAGTTTTTTAATTAAAAAACAATATTATATTTAATACAGTATTGATTATTTTATTATAACTCAAGTTGACATAATAATTTTGAAAATTTTATAATTTTGCCTATTTAACATTTTCAAAATATTTATTTACCATTTAATATTAAATAAATATATTATTATTCTATATTCCAAACACACATATTTACTTCTAGGACACAAATATGTTCCCTAAATTTAAATATTACTGCTTTCCGCTATCGCACATAGTCAGCGAGGCAGCAAGCAAGCATAGTATAATGTATGACTGTGTATTTTTCTGGATGAAATGGGTATTTCATTATGCACTGAAAAATACAATTTTATTGCTCGATAAGTTCACTGATTGTGACCCTTTTATCATAACTGAAAGTATTGACGCTAGATATCAACAATTATTTTAATGTCGCGGAGTTCTATCGACAGTGATTTTATATTTACTAATGAATGTAGACTATTATTATTAATGAATTAATTTAAAGTGAAATACGGGATTATTTCTGATTGAGTTGTTTTTTTTCTATATAACAAAAAAAACTTATTTATCTGACTGTTATCCTTCATTTTCCTTATTAGCTTCGTAAACTTGATTCCTTGCTTCGTTATTAAAAGTTGTAAGTATATGTTTATATGTTTATTTTTTTACTAAAATATACAGGGCGATTCACAAACTGTGATCAAAAATGAAACCTCGTATTCTTTGGTGAATTTTAAGGTGAGAGTCTTTCTTATAAAGGATGCTTCGTTAAAAAGATATAGGATGTTATACTTAAATATTTAAATAAAAACTAGTAAGTGAAATAATTTGAAATGGGTATTCGATATTCGTATAAATTGCAGTTTAAAATTATATAGTATTCTGCGATAACAACTTTGACATTCTGAGCAGTTAGAAGAGATAATAAAAAATGCTTTTCATCAGATTCACGCAACAATAAATTTCGAACAAATTACATTTTCGTTACTAACAAGATGTCGCGGATATGTTCGTGGAAATAGAGGTATTTTTAAACATTTACTCAAATAAAATCATTAAAATGATGACTAATGTTATTAATTTCTTTATTCGTTTAAATAACCGATAATTAGTGCTTGTCATGTCATTTAAGTAAAAGTGTTTTCAGTTCGTTTTTTAAGTCTTACTCGAAAATCAGGCTTTTTTAGAAAGCAGCGGCGTACTATTTTATTTAGAAAAATATTTATTTATTTATTTATTTTATTTATTTAGTTGGAAACAACTGCCAAGACAGGACGGAGCCCAATTATAAGGCAGGTATAATACAGATTAAAAAACAGATAAAATTTACATTAATATGAAATATGCCACCGATACCCTGTATCTCCGTCACTGGAGCATCTAAATTTTAGCAAAGCCTCAGATTTTGGACAATGTTTGCATACGTACATATGTCCAATTTCAAATTATTTGACTAAGTAGTTTTTAAATTATTTAAAAAAAATTTTTAAGTTTAACCAAAAAAATACGAGGTTTCATTTTTGGTCACCGTTTGTGAATCACCCTGTATATTATACATGCACATTTTTTTAGGTAATACATAGGTATACATATTGTTTCCTATTTATTTATCTTTTTAGAGTAGATAAATAAAAAAGAAATAGATAAAAAAATTATTTAACAGTGATAATTAAGGACATTTTTCCAGTATTAGACAAAGGTAAGTATACCAATTAAATATGCTTTTCAAGAAATAAATGTTTAATTATGCACAGCAAATATTTTAATTAATTTTAGCTGTATAATCAATTTTTAGAACTAAAGGTTTAGTATTTTTTTTAAATAAATAAATGTTTTATCATCTAAAGAGAAATTTTCATTTCGCCAAATACAAATAAATTATTTCAATGGCTCTATTAAATTTTATTTCCTCCTTTAAGAAGAAAAGGTTTAAATTCTTTCCTTAATCTTAATATCCTTAATTCTTAATATACTTTTAATTTTTTTATTATAGTACGATAAGCAAAATAGAGTTACATTTGTCGGTCGATAGCCGCACGGTTTAAGGCGTCAGTCCTTTAATCGTGTGCAAATTTCTGCCCGGGTTCGATTCCCGCGGCCGGTAGACCGTAGATTAGCTATGCTTGTACGGAGGATTGGCACCTTCTGTGCAGGTATGGTAGGGTGGAAGAATGTTGGCTTGGGTCAATGTGAGAGATTGACACCGGTTGGCTTTTGACCACCCCCTAATTAATGAGGTTTTCCAGGTTTCCCTCATTCCTGCACTGAATGGTGGTTAGGGCCTACCAACATAAGTCGTTCCTGGGCGCAAATGCGGCCTGCCTAATAATAATATGCCTCCTTCTCTCCCGAACAAGTCTCCGTAGTTAGAATGAGGAGTAGAGATATTATTATATTATATTATTTAAATTAATTACAGTTACATATTTTTTTACTTGCAATAAAAAAACTGAAAACTTGTTCTTATAAGCATTCCTGTTATTACTTTATTTTTTAACAACGGCCAACCAGTATTTGATATCCGTGATTATCTGTTTTAAATAGTCTACAGGTAGATACTTCTTATAACGTTAAAATAAAAATGTTATTAGTTGAAACTCCTCCTTTTAATACATTCATTATTGTCAATAAAATTCGAAAATATTAATGTCAAAAATCAGCAAATCACTAAAAAACTACTTAAATCAATTTACATATAGTCGATTCTCCCACACATATTCCTTACGTTGCTATGCGCTTGTAAGAAAAGTATCTAAAGTAAAAGTGAATGCAGATGACCTCCAGTTTCGAAGTTGACCTTTTGAGTAATAGCACCTTACTCGGTTGTATATATTAATAAACACTCTGTTATACTATAATTTTGTAACTTACACTGATCCAATCAAAACTTCAGTCTGCTCGCCACAAGCTAGCTCACCTGAAAGAAATAGAAATGCATTAGTTTTTCGTAAAATATGCTATCGGCAAGTGAAAGCATGTAATACTTTCACAGTTTTTTTTGGTTAATAGTGCGTACCTACAATTAAAAAACCTGATTTTGAAAAAATAGTGTGGTTATTTAAAAGTTTAAAAATACACTATTTAAAACACGTCTATTAACAATGAAATTTAACATGTTTCTCCTTAGTTAATTTTCTAATCAATTTTTGAGAAATATTGTACAAATTTACGTTCCTTATTATCACTAGAAAAAATATATAGCGGCTAACAGTTAGCAAAACGTGCTCCACAAATAATATCTTCGCCATTAACACATTTCATTGCAATGACACTTAACATATTTTCGAATAACTGTTAGTTATTTATAGACGGCATAACTATAATTACGTTAAAATCGCTCTAAACCCGTTTCTGATAATAGCCATAATTGAACAGAATGTGACGACCTTCGAAATAATGAATATTAATATTAAAACGAGTAGTGGACACACAACTGCTATTACTGAAATTGCCCTACATTTTTATCCACAAGATAATCATGGCGTAATTACTATTTACGTATCAGTTTTTGAATGTACCGTAACGAAATATTTTTGAGTCCGTATGGCGTTCTTTAATGACCGCCATATAGCAGCCTGTTCGTGTCCAAGCTATGGCTACCGTGTCAAGGTGAATGGTAAGTAAAAGGTGTTTTTTATAAACTACACTGAATATTAAGTAATTACATAGTCATGTATTTCATAATTTCTTCATACCGAGCTCGGGGATGTCTGATACAAGAATAGGAAGAAGTCCTATTTGAGACAGAATAAAACGGCTTAGTAATCTCAGGAGCAACATATTTATTTTTATATAGGTAGTTCAATTAACCAAGGTTTCGATAATGCTAAATTTCAATTGTAATAACACCACACCTTTCAAATGTGCAGTTTAGCAAAAGAACTATATTTTGAAGTAGATAATATATTGACAATCAATCTACTGAACAAAAAACATGTGAAATATGTTGCTAAACTCAGTTCTGTAAAAACTAACCACAATAGATGCTACTAAATTCCTTCTATATCATAGTGCACGCCTCGAGATCATTTAAGTTGGCTTAAATGGACGCAAACCATATAATAACAGCTATCGGTTGAGATAGGCAAAACTAAACCTTATCATTAAAGTCCCATTATTTGTGGAAATTATTATTTCCTGGATATCTTCCTTATTGCTGCAAAAGTAATAAAAACTCTTATAAGTGCATACTTCCTAGACAGCGACGTGAGATGATTAAGAGAAAGAAGTTCCTGCTGCTGCATAAAGACGTAAAATTACGATTATGCAATTTTAACGTATCTTTTGATAATAATAGAACAACTTTTTATTCTGCGAAAATAATTATTATCTTAATTTAACAAATACAATCATACTTACGAGTGCAATCATACCTTTTTCAACAGTGGTGTATGTATATTACGATGATCTAGTTGGCAATCCATGACCTACTGTGATTTTTTTAGAAACCATATTTGAGAAACTCACTGTTTTCTTAAAAATGTAGCTACATAGTAGGTACTATGCTATATCTCACATTCTATTCATTTATAATCTTTTTTTATTTCTTTTTTATTAAATTAAATTAATTTTAAATTAATTAAGACTTTGTTCCAATTCAAAAATCTAGAAGGCACTAGAGATGCCTGAAGATGATAAATTAGCCAATAACTAAAACGGGTGAAAATATTACGTCCTGTCTCAAATTATGAAAAAATGAATATGCAGAATCTACTATTTACCAGTTGTAATGTGTAAGGTCAGTATCTGGAATTTGTTTAATATTCAGGCATTTCCAACAGCTAGATTTTTAAACCACAATGGAACATTTAAAATTTTAAGTATAAAAAATTATTCGTCATTTTATGAAATATATGGCTTAAATTATGCTGATAAGGTTATGTTGACAAATTTGTTTTAAAAAATTCCTTAAATGATTTTCCCAAAAATCGCGTGTAGCAAAAATAAGTAAAATCGTGTATTACAAATAAGTTAGAAGGGCGTTCTACTACTTAACAGGTCACAATCTTTTTTGTATTTCCTATAGGTAGCCTTTTTTATTCTTGAAATGTATTACGTCTTAATTTTTTAATTTCTTCATTAAGTTATCCTTGAACTTTAATTTTTTTCCTCTTAACTTTCAGATTCTATCTTCTTTAGCTCCTTGTACTTTCGAATAAAACTATTAATAACACAATCTTGTTTGTTACTTACTTTTTATGCAAATTGTCCATGGATGGTCAGGTAACGGATACAACCACACAATAAAGAAAATTTATAACAAAAGTGGGTTTTGAACTCCGCTGAATTGCGAAGGCGTACACATTTTTGAAGATACCTCCGTAGTGGGTTTTGTTTAACTGTTTGCCGTTTATTTCGCAAATGGTTTACCCAAAATAATTTGCGTGGGAAAAGGTGCAGTAAAATGTGGATAATAAGAGATGTTAAATGTTTTCTGCCTTCTTTTAAATGAAAAATAATACTCATCAAATAAACTTATACCGCATGAAGCTTTAGAATAACCCGCACCATAATTGTGTTGAGTTGAATACATGTAAATACTGATTAAGAGATGAATGATTATATTCGTCTTATTTTTTGACTGGGAGTGTTGAATATTATGAGAAATATACAATAACAAAAATTAAAACTCATAGGACCGATCTAAGTGTGTTTATTTTATGTTTCTGTTTATTTATTAAGACCGAAAATTAGTCTCACAAACTTTGAGCGGAACAACTAAGATCAGTAAATGCCATAAAATATTAAAAAAATTGCTAGAGTTTCATATGTACTTCGATTTTTAAATTCGTCATGTTGTACAGCGTGTTCTGGGATCAATTGTCAAAATTTAAGATTTGAATTAAAATATGAAAGATTTTGAACTTTGAGAAAAAGATATCATTTTCTCAAATATTTATGATGTTGACGTAGAGTGCTGTGACTTGGGCTAATAACTTATCTAATTAATGGTAAAAATTTGTTCTATTCACGTGTAACAATGTCATCCAGTAGGTAGCGGAGATATTGAGAGTAACTGTCACTAAGAAACCCAAAAATTCGACACCGGATATTTTAAAATTCGATCACTACTTTTAATTCTCTGTAGTGTTTCAAAAAAAGATTTTTTTATTCGAAAAACGAACCATTTTCGAGTTCTTAGTTTTTCAAGTTACATTGTTACAATGAATTTAAAACAGCTAGTTCTTGAACTGTCCCTTTCCCAAAAAAAAAAATAGAATATTTTTTACTAGAAAGTGATTTTAAATACAATATAAATTTAATTGATATCTATGTTTTTCCAGAAATACCTACCATTTTAAAGGTATTAATGAAAAATTTCATAAAACTATTAAAAATTTTATTTTTTTTAAGGAACAGTAGGTATGTAGGTACTTCTTTAGTTACTTACTAGAAATTTTCGATATACCTTTAATAAAAATTGTATTTAAAATTTCATTACTAGTATTAAACACATACTATAGTCATTTTTTCGTGGGGATAGTAAATTATTTTAGATTAAGTGTTTGATAAAATATTCAAAGGCATTAAATTTCTATAAGAATTCAATCTTCAGAAGAAGATGCGAAATTTTGTCAGATTCTTTTCTTATTTTTGCTATCCGAATTTAAATTCGATTTCTGAAACAGCCTATATAATTATAACAGACGTAGATTTAGGTAAGTAAGTATACAGAAAATACCAATTAAAACATATAAGTTGAACTAAATCTCATAATAAATACCCACGCCACTGTTTTCTTAGGCCAATCTGACCTGGTGCAACTGTAGAGGTTGTGCTCCTAAGCGAGCGTTAACATCTCCACCAGCCAACTCGATGCAGATCATCGAGTATAGCGGTTTACGGTGAGATCATAGTTAAACTTAAAACCGCTGAAATTGTTGACAATTTCTAGCAATCCGAAATTTATTATCGCATATTACGTCAGAGGATATTCACGTCTTGCCTCGTGAAAGTAAGAACATAAACTCGCCAAAAACAGCAAATAGAAAACGTGACTGGATTTCTCATTAAAAGCTAAATTTAAGTAGGTTCGCAGAACAAATCCATTGTTTTCTGTTTGTATTCTGATAGCAGCCGTAAGTGGAAAATAGATCATGCACCGAAATTAGTAATAATTTCACGTTAATGAAAATTGTGTGTTAATTTAAAATTAGCCAAGTTATTTCGAAATTATAGTGAGAAACAACTACTCTGCGGACATCATACAGATCATATATTGGTTTCAAAACTTTTAGTTCCCAGTATCAAGTAGTTCATCTACACTGAAAAAACAATTGCTTTTTATTAAAGCAATCGGTTGTTTTGAATGCAGTCAGTTTACATTTATGCTAGTTATGTTAAGATAAATCAGTTACATTCAATACAAGTCATTTCATTCGTTTGAATTAAAAAAAGAAACAGTTTACAACAGGTTTGTCTATAATTAACAAATTAGATTTAATATAACCATTTATGATTTTGGAATATTTGTTAGGCGAATTAAAAGAATAAATTTTTATTACAAATTTATATTCGTTTTTATTTAATAAATATTATTTTATATTTGCCCATCAAATGTTACAATTAAACTTTAAAGGAAAATTATTCCAAATATATAATTTCTTGAATGTGAACCAGCTGGTTATAAAAGTTAAATTTTTATATAGTTTAAAACTATTATCAAATCAATATTAAAAATTTGTATTTAAAAATTACTCCAATCACGTGATCAAGTTGTGTTCTCCCCTGACAGTCGTATCTTTGCCATCATGGCGGCTATGTATGCAAGGTGTCTGTAGTGAATTCTGTAGTTCAGTAAGCTAATATGGACTATATCAAAAGGTAGAGTTTCTTGTTGTTCTTAGATCATATTCATAATATAACATGTGCATATAGTTACAGAGTGCTGTGTTCCGTTTGCTCGTAATTAAAATG